GTTGCAGTCGGATGTAGGAGGCCAATCAGTATACTTTGAAAGCATGTGTGAAACATGACGGCGGTACAAACTTGTCACCGGTGCAGAGTAGGACAAACATGAGGTGCAGCATTAAATGCCCAGCTGGCTCTGCTCCAACGCATGTATAGGATGCGCGAGCAGAGATAAGTGTGCTAAAGCAGAAAATAGGAGCTGAAGCGGAAAGGCCACGTGATGTTCCGTTTGGAGGCGACGCCGTATGCCTGCAGTGGAGGAGTATGGGGGATGAACGTGATCAGCCGTGGAGGGAAAACACAGAGCAGCACCGTCAAGGTCCGCCAGGACAGGCAAGAAGAAAAGACCGGCGGCGATAGAGAAGTGGGGTGTGCGCGGCAGAGAAAAAAAAAACAAATCTTTTGGTTTGTTGTGGTGTTTTTTGTTGTTGTTTTTTTGTTTTTTTTTTTTTTTTTTTTTTTTTTTTTTGTGTTGTGTGTAAAATGGTGATCGGAGTTGATTCCTGAAATGAATAAAATATGGGCTGGTTTGTGCAAATTTGTAAAATGGTTGCAATGGGGTTTGGAAATTGTTTTTTTTTTTTTTTTTTATTTTTGGAATAAGAATAATAATAATAATAATAAGAATAAGAATAAAAAAATAGGCATCATGGAGTGGGCGGTGGGAAAAATAAGATTTAGAAAAAAAAAAGAGGGAGGTGGTGGAATGATGGGTCAAAAAGTAGAATAAAAACAAAAGTGCACATGGGTTGGAAAAGGGAAGAAAAAAAAATAAAGAAAGGTAAAGTGGGGGTTTTAAAAAAGAGTAAAAGGGATTGGGAAAGCAGATCACAAGTTTCAACTGGCTCTCAACTCTGCTAGCAACATCAGCATTCTTGCAAACAATGCTCAGGGCACCAACACGTTCCCCATAGAGCCCCATGTTCTTTGCATAGCTCTGAGCTACTAGGCATTCACCACCATCAGCAACAAACATGCGAACAGACTGTGCATCCGCGTCCAAACTTCCACTTGCAAAACCCTGATAAGCACTATCAAAGAAAGGTAACAAGCCCTTCGATCTCATCAACTTCCTGATCTGCTCCCACTGCTCAAGCGTTGGATCAACACCAGTTGGGTTATGAGCACATGCATGAAGAAGCACAATTGCTCCCGATGGAGCAGAACTGAGGTCATCTAACAAGCCTTGGAAATTGAGCCCACGTGTTGCTGGATCATAATAGCTATAAGTCTTCACTGATAACCCTCCTATAGTGAAAATTTTTGGGTGGTTTCCCATGTTGGCTGGGGAATGTATATTGTGCGCTGGTGATAATGTTTTGCCAGAAACTCAGCTCCAACTCTCAATGAGCCAGTACCAGACAAGCACTGGACAGTAGTAACCCTATTCTCTTGAATAGCAGGGCTGTCAGCACCAAATATGAGCTTAGCACTCAGTTTATTGAAATCTGCCAGTCCAACAATGGGAAGATATTCCTTAACACGGGAGCTGTCATTAACAAGGATCTGCTCTGCTTTTCTCACCACATTCAAAACAAGAGGTTTACCTTCCTCTGTTCTATAAGCACCAACACCCAAATTTAACTTTATTGGGCTGGGATCTTTATTATATGCAACAGTCACCCCGAGAATTGGATCTTCAGGAGCGCGAACAACGTGAGCGAACACAGAGTTGGCATCGAAGCCCGAAGTCGGAGAAGCAGAGATCGAATCCATTTCTGAGGAAGAGGAGGAAGAAGAGATGTCTCGGGTGGAGTCACCACAGAGAAAGAAATTAGTGACGATGAAGATGAGAAAACAAAGAAAGAAGAGTTTCTGGTATGTGTTTGTGATATGTGTTGAAAAACTCCCGCGGGCAGCGAAGGCAAGGTTGCCGGTCGGCTGCCCGCCGGAAAGAAAGGAGTATAGGCCTAAATCTTATAGCTCTGATACCATGTAATAATTGATGTATATTATTGATTGATATAATGTTATATATATTACAATGATTCATGATTCCTATATATAGAAGAGGGTGAGTGTGTAGTAGGTAAGGAGTAGGTGAAGTGGAGGTGGTAGTGGTGTAGTGGGTTAGGTTTAGTGGAGTAGGTGAGGTGGTAGTGGTGTAGTGGGTTAGGCTTAGTGGAGTAGGTTTAAGTGGGTGAAGTAGGTGATAGGTTTTAACAGATGATAATATGGAAGTTTACCTCTCATGGGAAAGCAAGAAGATTATGCTCAATATTCAGAAAAATAAAATAAATAAAAGAATACAAAACAATTTAAGATAACTATCCATTGAACTTACTGCAATAAAGACACACAAACACAATAGATCATTTGCTAATTAAAGGGTATCTTACTTGTGCTCAGATTCATCTTGTATAAATGCATGAAGTGCTTCCACAGCTAAAGAGAAGGACATAAACAATAGAAACAGCTGTCTACACATGCAACACAATCAATGTAATGTTATGTTAGTCCAAGCAATGCAATTAACAAGAAAGAGTGCCACTAACGCCACGACTAAGAAGTTAATTCCACACATTCTTCTTATGAATAACATATATGCACTTTCTACCCCATTAACACACGAAGAAAAAAAAGAAAAAAAAGAAAAAGAAAAAGAAAACCATCATCAAGGCTCAAGTATAATGGAAAGGACGGTTTGGCCCAACGATAAGGGTTGCCATTAGTCTCCCTAGTAGTGCAGAGTCAGGGAAACAACTTCTCCAAAAATGGGATAAGGCTGCATTCATCCTGCTTCCCTCCCCATATCCCATTTTAACGGGGACCTCATGGTCTTGGTCACCCCTTATCAAGGCTTAAGTATGTTGGAAAGGAAACTAATGTTCAGCCGCTGAAAATTTCTGTTCATGAAGTGTGCAGCAGAAATCCAGATCTTCAGATGGATAGCAAGTCCACAAACTAAGCAAATTCGTGCAGGAGTGGGAATAGCATCAGTTGAACATAAATAAAATCCGAGAAAAAGGACTAGGATGTGCATTGTTCATGATCATAGACAACAAACTAAAGCACCAGAGAGTAAGAGTGGCATGGCTCTTGTTTGTGGGTATACTAGGTCAATGGGATATGTTTTCCAAAGTAAGAGTTGATAGACTAGAACTTGCAGTAAATTGAAGAATTCATCTCTATAAGGTGCAAGGTTAAAATCAAAGTACTGCATTTTAGCCATTACTACCAATAATAGCAATCAGGAAATTTCAAATACTTACAGCATTGGTGAAAGCAGATAAAACTTCAAGCCTCTTGTACCTAGTTAGTATAAAAGAACTCTGATTAATTAATTTGCTAGATGCATTCCAAATGTCAAAATGTAACAGTTCACACAGTTCAAGCAAAACATGTTTGACCAGTACATAAATATTGCAGCAACCAGACAATATCAAATAAAAACAGTTTTAGTATTCAAATCCATATATTTTCCAAAATGAAAACCCTCCAATGTGTGAAACCGTAGATGTAGGATATAAAATAATTTCACAAGACAAAATGGAAAAAATGAAACTACTACCAAGCGAGTTAACAAGGCAATTTACAGTAGTTAAGTTGCTTTCATAAACATAAAGATAGAAATTTTGATCTCACCCATAAGTGTAGAGTCGATCACTCTTTTTCCGTGAAGCAGCCATTGCAAACAATGAAAATGTTAAGAGTCCACATCCAAATGTCAAATGAAAAGCATCAGACACCAAACCTGGCATAGAATGAACAACAAAAGTTAATCAATACGGTGGAGAGTAAGCAAAGGAATTATAGAATGCTCTTAAAATGAAGCTCCCTTACTTCCAATTAACCAATACTATCATATGTCAAGATACAAAATCTTGTGCATGCAAGCACACAGAACAGAACATTTGAATCATGTATACCATTATATAAAGCACACAACTCACTTGGTATGAACAAATTTGTCACACAATTTTGATTCTCAAAAAACACATTTTGCTTTTTTTTGTCTTTGGTGAAAGTTTTCAAAATTTTCGAATATTTACCTTGTTTAGTAGTTGCCATAAGGACCAAAAAATCACTAAGCCAATAACTGCTATCTATACACTACCTACGACCTGGTCTCTATCCATTCTCACCCATGATTCTTGCACATTTTAGTGTGTTTATTGTGTACACATTCCAGTAAAAGAAAACATACACACATGAGAAGAATATAGATTGATTCTAGCAGGTGATACGAAAATAAGCACACATACAACGTGTAAAATTTAAAAACTGTAACTGAAACTAAGGCGGTGTTTGGGAAGGATTTTTTTTGGTTTTTTTTTTTTTTTTTTTTTCCTAAAAGGCAAATTAATTACAAAACCAAAAAAAAACAAATCCAAACAAAATACCATATCAAACCCCATAATCATTTCACTTTTTCTCTCACAAACATCACATCCAACCACAAAAAAACCCACTTCCCAAACACCCACTAAGAATGTCATTGACTCATTGTCCAACAGACAACTCATACTTCCATAGTGTGTAATTTGCAAGGTTATCATTGCACATCCATTCCCATATCTTTAAAATCAATTCCTAGAGAACAAAGCAGGAATTGAACTCATCTATATCTTCTATCTATCTATACTATGGGGTGTTTTAGGAAGATAATTAAAAGTTGACTTCTTGACTGTATGTAACTTTTTTTACTATTTTATGTGAGAGGTGATGCGATCTAAAATGAATTAAAAAGTTGACTTTTGACTTTTAACCCATGTTCTGAAAATGGGCTTATATATATATAAAGTGAATACTCATGTTGGTGTCCTGAAACCTTGGCTTCTCTACATGGCAAGTGAATTTCTCAATTTAATATATATATATAGAAGAGGGTATTGGAGGTCTGTTGGTGTATGAGGATGAGTGGAGGTTGCAAATAGATAGGCTGTATGCTGTAGTTCAGAGGTCAGCTGATGCATGCAGTTGGTAGGCATGCTGTTGTAGGAAGCTGGTCTGCTCTGTGCAGATGTTAGGAGGGTAGTGGTATTGCTAACGCTGCTGGTAGCTGGTCTGCTCTGTGCAGCTGGATGCTAATGCTAATGCTAATGCTAATGCTGCTGGATGCTGGTGGTATGTTGCTCACACAAGGCCTCAGTAAGCAAGTCTGCTTTTGGCCTGTTGCTGTAATGTTGCTGGTTAGGGACTGTTAAGGTTGCTAAGTGTGTTGTTCTAATTGTTGCTGGTTCTCTGTTGTTTTTTCCTTTCTCTTTTTGGTTCTTTTGATTGGTGCCTCACCAATCATGGGTTAAGTGCTAGCAAAGGATTGTGCTAACTGATCGGTGCCAACTGAGTTGGGATTAGTAAGGTTAGTTTTGATGCTGTTGCACTTCCCTTCTTTGTTGATGTAAGTTTTCGCATGTATCTTACTTTCTTCGTCAATAAAGTTTTATTTTTGCGGATCAAAAAAAAGAAGAGGGCAAAACTTGAGCCTAACACCTTGGATTTGATAATGAACAGTCGCACATAAAATGTAATTTTTTTTCTCACTTATTTAATACTAGTACTATTATAAAGTGAACACAGTGTCCCAAAACTTCTCTATTGTTATGCCAAGTGTCCATTTCTATATTCAAAACAAAAATAAAAATAAATAAAGGAGGGGAACATCAAACATTTTGTTTGCTAAATTGGCATCCAATATATAATAAATATTTTGTTTTATTCTGAATCGTATTCCAACCGCTAGTATATACGTATATACATGGGCAAAAAAAACAAAATTTAGAACAGTAATTCACTTGCAAAGAGATTGAGAATCGCACCTACACGGCCTGAAAGAAGGCCAATAAACAATTCAGCAGTTGAATACGCAACATTGAGGGAGATCATCAAAAGCAACCTCTTCATTGGGCGATTACCAGACCTCATAATGCTAAAACCCGATAACACAAAAAACAAAACCGAGTATTTCTCATCCGAACCCTTCTCTTCTGTCCATCTGCTCTCACTTTCGTCCTGTGGATTAAAACTCGGCGGAATATCTATGCTCGACGCAGTCCGAGAAAGAAAAGGCTTCTTCACAGGATCGTTCGAATTCGAAATCACAGATATCGGCTCGGCCGATTGATTATGAAACGAAGTCTGGCGTGAAAATGCGTACCTTCGATCGAACTCGGCGTTCCACGATCGCGGCGATTCAGTTTCGAGTTTCTGATAGTGAAAAGATGTGGTCTTCATTGTTGCGAAACTCGAAGAATTTTCAGACTCGAATCAGAAGCCCCAAATCAAAGTTTACAATATGAGAAAAAAATTCGATTTTGAAATCCGATTGAGTGAGGGGGTGAGGGATTGAATGTTGTTGGTCGAAGAATTGGTGTTGTGTGATCGAAAGTGGCGATTTTGGTGAAGAAATGATGAAGACTTTGATCTATAGACTGTAACTGCATATGGTGGTCTTGGGTGCGAGGAGAAGGGGAGAGAGAGAGAGAGGGAGAGTGGCGGAGCAGGAGCCCAAGTCAAAGAAACGAAGACGACTAACGTATTGATATCTCCATATTTCCTCTTCTCTTTTTTTTTTAACTTAATTTTTATTAAAGTCTTATTAAAAAAATAACTTTAATAAAATCGTGGTTAAAAATTATATACTTGATTTTATTTTTCAAAAAATACTTTTTAGAAAATTTTATTTTTTTATTTTTCGTATTTTTTTATTTTTACTGATTTTTTTAATATTTTAAGCAATTGTTTTAATTTTTAGGCATACCTAACTTAAATGTATTTAAAAAGTAAAAATTTGTGAAGAAAATCTTTTAAAAATTCACTAAATACCCAAAATACAAAAAAAAAATATGAGAATTCAGTACATTTTTTATATTTTTATGTATTTATTAATTTTTTAAAATATTTTTTCACAAATTTTTTACTTTTTAGATACATCTAAGTAAGGTGCATCTAAAAAGTAAAAAAAAATGTTTAAAATTTAAAAAATATTCACTAAAAACAAAAAAAAAACACAAAAATCAAAAAAACTTAGTTTTCAAAAAAATTAATTCAAAAAATTCAAACCAAACACATTGATTATTTTTTAACCAATTTTTTACATATGTCGTTAAAATAGACAATTAATAATTTTTTATCACAATTTTTATAAATTTTCTGTGAATTTTACAATTATTGTTTTTTTTTAACAAATTTTCAAACTGTTACTAAAAATTAAATTAGTAAAAAATTTTTAACGATTTTTTAAAACTATCGCTAAAATTTAAATTAATGACATTTTTTGTAATCAAATTTTAAATTATCACTGAAAATTAACAATTAATTACTTTTTTAGTAGTGTTAGATAAAAAATGTCATTCAGTGTGTTTGGTTTCAATTTTTTGAAAACTAGTATTTTTATTTTTCAGATTTTTTTTGTTTTTAGTAAATATTTTTTAAATTTTAAGAAATTTTTTTACTTTTTTAAATGCACCTTACTTAGATGTATCTAAATAGTAAAATGTTTGTGAAAAAATATTTTAAAAAATTAATAAATATACAAAAATACGAAAAATGTATTGAATTTTCGTTTTTTTTTTTTTTTGTATTTTTTGGTATGTAGTGTATTTAAAAAAAATACAAATATTATACTTTTTAAGTGTATTTATGTTAGGTGTATCTAAAACTTAAAAAAAATTGCTTAAAATATTTTAAAAAATCATTGGAAACATTAAAATATGAAAAATAAAAAAATAAAATTTTCTTAAAACTGTTTTCTGAAAACCAAAACCAAACAAGTTGATTAATTTTTAAAAGACCTATTAGACAATAAGTTTGCTCATAAGTCCCTCAAAAATTTTTGATTATTACATGGAATTTTTTTTTTTTTTTTACTTGACATGGAAAATATTTAAGATGTTCAAAAAGTTTTACAATTTTACCCATAATAATGTGTTAGAATATGTGTCAATTTTTAATTTGTTACATAGTTAATGATGGATGACCCAACTCCTTTGTCACATTATTGTGAATAAATTTATAAGTCTAAATATATGAGTTTATAGCATTATTCTTATTACATATATGTAAAAATATATATATATATATATATATATATATATATATAATTTTTATATATAATAATGTAGTTCATTGTGGACCTTTGATTTTAAAATAAAACACCATTAAAAATGAATTTATTTAGTGAAGGTGTTGGCATGGTGTTGGGGTGGCGGTGATAGCAAAGGTGATGGTCGCTGTGACCATGGTGATGGTGGTGTAGTGGTGGAGGTGAGAGTGATGGTGGTAGTATGGTGACATTGGTAAAATTTTAGTCCATAAAACGTTTTCTGCCTTTTAAAAGTAAAAAATATTTTATGTCCATATAGGTTTGTTTTCCGTTGACTTTCATTTTCCATTGTATTAAACGCCAAGAAATACGAATAATATTTTTCGCCCAAACAAATAAATGCAAGGATTATTCTTTTTCCTTATCTATAGTGCTGTAAATGAACCGAACTGTTCACGAACAGGTTCGGTTCGACTCGTTAAGGGCTTGATTCGTTTAGTAAATGAGTCGAACTCGAACTCGAATATTAGGCTGATTTAGTAAATGAGTTGAACTTGAGCTCGAATAAGTTTGGCTCGCCAAGCTCGGCTCATTTATCTTTATTTAAATTATATAATAAATATATTATTTATATTATTTAAATATTTAAATAATATTTTTTATTTTAAATATTTAAAAAATATAAATAATCTAAAAAATTTACCTTGGCAAAAATTTAAAATAAATATTCAAAAAATTTAAATCGTAAAAATTTAAATAATTTAAATATTCAAAAAATTTAAATAATTTAAAATGTTAATATTTTCAATTTGAAAACAACTCTACACTCAAATCGTAACCAAACACATAAAATAAAACTCAATTAATAAATTATTTTTAAAACTCATAACCAAACACATAACTCAAAACTCCATACTACTTTCACAAATCTACACTCAAATCATAACCAAATACATAACAAAAAAATTAAAATATTTAAAATATTTTTATAAATAGAGTTTAAATTTATTTTTATAAAATATTTTAACAAAAAATAAAAAAATGTTTTTAATTTTTTTTTTTTCAACTTTTTTTGTTTTTTCCTGGGAAAAGGATTTTTTTGGGAAAAGGTTCTTTTTTTTTATTTTTCATGTGCTGAGGCATTCATGTGGGGTAATTTCGTAAATTTACATTGCCTTTGATTGTTGTCCAGCACCTCACAATTTTTTGTCCTTACTTGGCTAATTAAGCCTGTTTTGTCCTCACTTGGCTAAAATAGCCCAACATTCCCTTCCCAAACACAGGCTTAACTCTTTCTGCTCTCTAGTGTTTGTTTTTATATATAAAAGTTTAAGTTTAGTTTGAAATGTTTAGTGGGTCATAGTGGGTGAAAAGTAAAAATTAGAATTAATATTATGATGACTTATATTATATCTTGAGTTACTATAACATGTTTTATATATATTTTGAATTATTATAATTTATTTTATGCAAATTATATTTTATAAATTATATTAGCATTTTTAATTATGTTATTTATTTTATGAATCTTATTTTATATACTAAGGAAAATCATAGATATAACGGTTTATTACAATATGTTTTGAATAATTATTTAATAAATACCATCACGGAGGTCCCATGTTTTGGGGACTTAAATAACCATTGGCCCTCTGATTAGTTACTTTGTGACCCTCTCTTTGTCATGGATCCACTGACACTCTGAATTCTGGTGTGGAGCAAAGTGCTGTATGGAGCTAAGTACTACACTATTGTGGGAGCCATCTCTAGAGTTCGTACGAGCTACCTCTTGAGTCCATACATTTGTTCTGTTCTGTATCATTGTTATGATTTATGGTGTGGAGTAAAATGTTATACGGAGCTCAGTGATATACTTTGGTGGGAGCCACCTCTAGAATTCGTACGAGCCACCTCTTGAGTTCATACATCTGTTATGTTCCGTTTTATATCATGGTTATGATTATTTTGTTTATATGATTTATGTATTATATGTCAAATGATCTGCATTATATACTCTGTATTTTAATATCAAGTTTTGTTTAGCCAATAATTATTCATGGTGAATTTTATGCCCTTATGCTCTCAGTATAATATTTCTCACTCTGCCATGTGCTTATAGCTGTTTACTAATTTTCAAAAAACAATGGAATTCAGAAATAGCTTTTGCAGAGTCTTAGACGTGGGGCTACAGAATGGACACACATAGCACTTTTATAGTATTTATAATTCTATTCTTCATATGTAAATATCGGTCTTTTTGGTCAATAAATTTTCTTATAAAAATAGAAGCTCCAATGATTTTTTTGGTACCCTCACTTAAATATTTTTTTTCGCTCACGTTTAGTAATTTGTTTAAGAATTGGCTGGAGGTAACTTCAGTTACTAGTCATCACGATGCTCAACCCTTGGGCACGGGAAGCGGGTCGTGACAAGTGATATCAGAGCCAGGTTTTTAAAATTATTTTTATAAAATCATTAGAGCATAAGACAAATGCACAAATACGATGAGGGAAATGTTGAGCTAGATTATAGGTCGTATTTAAATTAAATATTTGTGTAGTTAAGATGAGTTATTTGTTACTCTATATATAATTGTGTATATCTTTCATGTATATGCTAAATAATTTGAAAGAAAAAAAATTCAAACAGGTATACTAAAAAAAAAAAATTTATTTTGACTTTTTAGAAGTGAGTTCAAATCTATAATCTTTCAAAAGTTATAAAAAATTTATAAAAATAAATGGAAGATTCATGAATAAAAGAAATGGAAGTTCATCTCAAATTCCTTCAACTCTTGCATATGATTCTGTCATTTCATTTCAGTCGCTTGTTTAATTGTGTTCTCATTTTATTTTCATTTTTTTTGAAAAAAAAAAAACAATGAAAAGTTTTTAAAGTCACCTATTGTTTCTTGTGGGTGTTAATTTCCGACCACACAACCAAACGGAGAATTCAGCTGGAGAGCACCGGCAGAATAGATTAAGCCTGAACACCTACCAACAAGAATATGAAAATACCACGGTGGTTTGTCCACCAGGGGGCGCTCCGACGATCAAGTCAGTAATCTATCTCTCTTAAAGATAACAAATAGTGCTTAACTCACTAGACAGAACATAAAAAGCATACTTTAGACCCATGGAAGTGCCTCACTTTTATAGTAGTCAGTGTCCAACTTCCCCTAGAAGTCTTACTTCATGGGACTCTATCCTTTACAAGGATAACATTTATCACAACTCACACTATTCAGATTAAGATGAACTTTCTCAAGAGTCCCATCTCTATCCAAATAGGTAGTTTGATGTCATTTAGGACTCTAGTCCTCTATCCAAATATCTCAGATTCCAGTATTATTGCACCATATCTCGGCATCATGGTCTGCCCGCGTGGTACCTCGGCTAACAACCTCGGCCACGTGGACTACCCAAAAATACGTCCCCACAACTACTCCATAGGTTCTATTACCTCGGCAAACTGAGGTGATGGAA